CCCTCTTTTGTAGGCAAAAAGAGGGTGAGTAGCGGCGCGCCGCTACCTTTGCTGTGCTGGCCACGTTTCCACTGTCACAATACACAATTTTAGAAAGCGTGTAACACTTTCTCAAATTATCATTTTTCAGATAAGATTTATGTACCTACGCTGATTTTTTCAGAATTTTTTTATATGTGTACTCTGATGCCCCAACTTTGTATGGGGGTTCTGTCAACATATGTTTGTATATGTTTTAGGCTAGGTAGGTGCATGCTCATAGAGGGTACAACACCATAGCACAAATCCTCCCCGTTTGGCACAATCTAGTTCATTGCGTTATTCTAACATGGTATCACGCTAGGTTAGGCCCCCCTTCTCGCCTACGCTTCCGCCTCTAGCCTTAGCCCTAGCCTTAGACTGCGCCCCATCACGCCGTGCTGGCCCCGTCCCACCGCGCCGGCCCCGTCCCGCTGCGCCGGCCCCCGTCACGCCGCGCCGGGCCCGCTAGACCGCGCCCGCCCCGTCACGCCGCGTCGGCCCCGTCCCGCCGCGCCGGCCCGTCAAGCTTCGCCGACCCCGTCACGCCGCGCCGGCCCCGCTAGACCGCGCCAGCCCCGTCACGTCGGGCCGGCCCCGTCACGCCTCGCCGGCCCCGTCACTCCGCGCCAGCCCTGTCATGCCGCGCCAGCCCCGTCACGCTGCGCCGGCCCCGTCACTCCACGCCGGCCCCGTCACGCCGCGCCGGCCGTGCGCGCCGCGCTGAGCTGCCGAGCCACTGCGCCATGCCGCCAAGCTGCTGAGCCGCGCCGCCGAGCCGCCGAGTAGCCGAGCTGCCGCGTCGCCGAGTTGCCGACTCGCCGAGCCGCCGTGCTGTTGTGCCGCCCCGACTTGCCGGCCTTTGTTCCCCCTTCTGTGTCGTTGCTCCCGCCGGCCGTCTCCACCGCTGCTCTCCACCGCCCTCTCCTCCTCCTCCCCTAGCGGCGGTCAGCTGCTGCAGCCGTGGCGATGGCGGACGCTGTGCTCGGCCTGGACGCGGAGGGTCGGGCGATTGACTTTGAGGCGTGGCTCGCTCCGCCGCTTGTTGAGGGGACAGCGCCAGGATGGCCATTCTCTAGCCGTTCACGTCGACGGTAAGATCCCTTGCCTCAACTTGCCTGCTGCCCTCTCTGACGCCCCCACGTCCGCTGAGCGTGAGGCCTTTGCTGCTGCTGAGCTCGCTCGCTCCGTCTGGGAGTCGCGTAACGCAGTTGCGCAGCTTGCTACCGTAATCACCCGGATAGACGCCGCTCCGTAGGATAAGTCCCATGGGCTTTATCTCGTGCTTTGGGCCTTATAGCTATTATTCGATTAAACGCCCCCCCCCCCCCCCCCTTATTTTTAGAAAGTGTGTACCCTATACGCCCCACTTTTATTTCGTGAAACTTTGTACGAAAACGACGGAATGAATTCGGGTAATAGCGAGAATCCTCACCCTGTGCCAGCCAAAAGCTCAATTTGCGCCCTTCGGCTCTTCACGCCAGCAAGATTCGCGTCAGAGTAAGCTGATTCCAGCTTGGCACATTGCCGACTGGACTTTCAGTGCGATGGATGTGAGAATTTTCGTCAAAAGTGATCCATTGCATGAAACAAAGCAAAAGCTACAATCTGATGTAGAAATATCAATACGCCTAAATACCTTTTTAAATGCCCATGGGCATTTATTTTTTATTCAATTAAACGGCCCCCCACGTTTTCAAACCAGTCCTATAAACGCCCCTAGGGGCGTCTATCCAGGTGATTACGGTATCAGTCACGCCCTCCGCCTGTCTGAGCGCCCCTGCTACTAGGCCCTAGAGACTGCGCAGCAGTACTTAGATGCTGTTATTGCACGCTATTCTACTCCCTCCTCCTCCTCTGCCAGTCGTCTCCTCCTCCCCCAGCTCTTCCTTGACATTGCGTCTTTTCCCACTGTCGCTGATCTCACCACTCACCTGCGCGCACTAGAGGCTAAAACCGTGCTGCTGGCACTGAGGCTCAGCTCCTTGTACTACCTCCCGTCCTCGGCGCTACCCTCTACTTCCTTGCCATGCGCCTTCCTGACCGCCTAGCCACTACCCGCGGCACTATCGCTCAGTCGAGCCCCCAGTGCACTATCGCTCAGTCGAGCGGTACTGCGGCGATCCCTATCTTCCAGCGTTGTGCTCCCTCCTTGTGCACTAACCTTGACGTCTTTGCCACTGTTGCTGAGACGACCCCTGCTGCTGAGACGGCTGCGGCGGCCTCAGCGCAGTCTCGTAAAGGTAGGGGACGCCGAGCCTGAGGGGGGCATGGCGGCAAGAGGGGTGGCAAGGGTGGTGGGGGTGGCAGAGGTGGCAGAGGTGGTGGAGGGGACGGTGGTGCAGACGAGGGGACCGAGGCTGGTGCCCCGGAGCAGCAACAGCAGCAGCCGTCGTAGCAGCAGACGCCGTGGGGACCCCCGCCGCCGTGGTGGACTGGCAGTACTGGTGGTGGTGGGGGGCGCAGTCGGTGTCGGGTGGCGGCTCCAGTGTGGTCACCTGCTAGTTTCAGCTTCAGTCCGGCCCTCGCCGTGGCACCGTCTGTGACCGCCCCGAAGACACCGCCGCGTGCTGCTACCGCCGCCTCGATGACCTCTTCCATCTCCGCTTCGGCCCCAAGGCGGACCCCCCCGACTGGTACAGCCTGGTGCGTCGTTGTGTGCCTATCTTTGAGATGGACATGGATCAGATTAGGTCTGCTTTGTATTCCATGTATGCTGATGACTCTAGTGTGATTGGAACCTATTACCCGGTATTGCCTAGCGTAGGTGTGTCCCCCGTGTGTAGTCTTGGTTCCCCTGCTGTGTTAGGCATAGGACCCCCTGCCTTGTTTAGCCTAGGCTCCACGCTAGCCCCTACGCCAGCGGACGCTACTACTTCACTCTCCTTCACCCTCGACTCTGGAGTGTCTGCCTACTTCTTCCGCGACCACACTGCGCTCACGCCTCTTGCTGCCCCTGCGACTGTCATGCTTGCTGACCCCTTTTCAGGTCCGGTAGTTGCCCCTAACTCCACCACCCCTCCCTGTCCGGCGGTTCCCTCGGTTTCTCTTACAGGCCTACACATCCCCTCGTTCTCCGGGAACCTAGTTGGTGCCGGCTGTCTTCAGGACCTCGGCGTCACCGCTATGTTCCTCGGACATGAGTAGTACGCGGTCTGTACCGAGGGCGCCACTGGTGCTCCTCTGACCACGTTCCCCCGCGACCTAGTGACTTGCCTGTTTACGCTTGACACTGCGTCCCCCCAAGTGCCTGCGTCAACCCTGGTCGCTGCGGCTTGCTCGTGTCGGTCGCTCACTCACCCGTCGCTGCTGTGGCATCACCGACTAGGTCATCCCGCACTCCCGTGTCTGCGTTACATGTCCCATTAAGGTCTTGTCTTC